TTGAAAGGACTTACTGCCAGTCTGAAAAGTGGTGACCTTGATGGCTGTATAGAAACTTTGATCCAGGTAAATAAAAATAATCTTGGGATGGGACTATTTCAGAGAAGGTAAACTCATCTGTGTTGGCTTTAAACCACCCATCGGAAGTGGCGAAAGTAGTCTGTTGTAAGGTGTTACAGGAAAGTTGTTGACGTAATTTAAATAAACAGGATAATAGAGTACCATATGAAGAGGAACACTTTTGTTGAATTTATTTGGTTAAGTAGCTCTGCCCTGCTTTATTAGCATAGTCAAGTGATGATCTGATGGTCATTTTATCAGGCATGATTTTCTTCTTCCCATTTTGACTAATGATAACAAATCAAGATAGGTCCCATTTAAATATCAAAGTATCAGTGTAAATTTTGATATCATATTTTACATTTTAGTTTTAGTTGTATTTTAGTCATCTGAATTGTTTTAGTCATATTTTAATTGACTAACATTTCCAGTACATTTCAGTCAACTAAAATCTATTGGATTTAGTTAAATTGTTATGCATTATTTATACATTTCTCTAGAACTTCCAAACTCAGTATATATTCCTGGAGTAGAAATCTAATAACATGTTATTATTTATGGTATTAAGGTTTGAACATGCACTACAAACACAGATTTAGCTGTTGCAATGTATAATGTCTTTATAAATAAAACCAAGTTTCATAAGCAAACAAAAAATATTGCTTTTTGACAAATATAAGTGCAACTTTAAAAATATATAAAACAAAAACTCACGAAAACTGTAAACTCTCTTGGCTGTAATGCCATTACACATATTCCCTGAATATATTAGCAACATTGAATATTAAAAAAAAAAAAAAAAGCCTTTTTTCTCTTTTTTTTTTTATTTTACTTTCAGCAGCTTAGTAGATGCCCCCTACTTATTCTTATGTGGTAGTGCAGTGTGGATTTTAACATCAAATTTCAATTTAGTTTTAGTCATAGTCTTTTGACTGAAATGCCATTTAAGTTTGTTGCATTTTAGTCTTTTGACTGAAATGCCATTTTAGTTTTAGTTGTATTTTAGTCATCTGAATTGTTTTGGTTTTAGTCATATTTTAGTTGACTAAAATATTTTTAATTTAGTTGACTAAACTTACCACTAGCGGCAAAATTACCACTGGTATCAGTAGGTTATACTAAACCTAACTCATAGGTAAACACACAATTTATTAGTTGCATACTTTGTGGTCAAATGCACTCGGTTGGTTACATGTATAAAGATGAATATAGATGTCAATGAATCCTTTTATGAAGAGTACATTCCACAGAGACAAATGAGACGGAAAAAAACAACATTACAAGCCACAGATGAGACATTACAAGGGAGACCTTAACCTTGACAAGGGATCTCAGCAAGGACTAGTATCCCAAAATTGTGACTTATTCTAAAATCCATGTCTGCGAGGATAACACTGCAAAGACATAGAGGATGCTTCTTTGTTAAAATATGTTTAGAACTTCTGTATAAATATAGAAATAAAATGTAACATTTTAAAGTTGCACATTTTATCAATGACGCGTCTTACACATGAGTCGGATGTTTAACATTTTATACATTTTGTATTCCTTGCAGATTTTCAACAATGAGCTATTTGGCGACATTGCAGATGAAAAAGAAGTGAGAGGGATAGTCTCTAAAATAATGGAAGCTCGAAGCAGCAAAAGCTATGATTCCTATGAACTGCTTGCTCACTTTATTGGAAAAGACCAGGTTGTAAAATTGATCCTGCCCTTAAAAGAGGTAAGATGTGTGCAACTGTAAAAGCATGCATGTTTTAATCTTATTGGTGTAAATAAAACAGGGTGAGAAACTAATAGCACAAGGAACACACATTATTATGCTGCAATGCATATATGCGAACGAGGAGAGAACAGAGTGACAGGAGGATGAGCTCACTAGCCTGCTGCTTCTCCTTTACTGTCTAGTCACAGGCTAGGGGTTAAGAGCTGCAAAACCTTTAATCATTTAACTGGAACCAAGGAAATTTAGGTCTCCTGCTCTTTATGACAAGGGCTGTGCTGTATGGCTGACCTTCATAAATCTTAGAACTGGATGAACAGAAATACAAACCCTTTGGGAGGTAAAACCATTCAATGTATTTTATGTGTACTGTATGTACCTGTTCAGGCTGAAGGTCAGCTGTAAGATTGACATAAGATGATATATGGCTTTTTACCCCTGTTTTGTTTACTTTTATTAAGTGCTGTTATAAGATGTATTTATGGATATAGTTCCTATTATTTTGCAGGTTTTGGAGAAGACAACTAGTTTGAAGGTTGCTCGCAAAGTACATGAAGCTTTTCGTAGAATTGTGTTTGGTTTAGTAGCCAATGAAGATATGTCAGCAGAATCCATCCTTTTACTGAGCTATGGCCTGATCAGTGAGAACCTTCCTCTCCTAACAGAGAAAGACAAGTATGGTTTATTAATAGGGTTTTATTCTATTCTTGGTAATGGCAGTCATGTTTTTTTTTTTTTTTGGGTTTGGCAGTTGTTCAGAGGAGTTTTGTGCCTTTTTGTTCTTGAGAGTTTAGCAACAGGTACACATAGATTATCAAACTGTCATCTCTTGTGGACCAGTAAATTATTATCAGTGGTCTACAAAATTACTTTATTAACATAAGGATATCTCATGTCAGGGGTTCATAATGTGAAACTGATCTTATAACATGTTAGAGCAGCCTTTCTCAGCCTTTTTAACATGGCAGAACCCTTGAAATAAATTTACAGTCTCAGGGAACCCCTGTCAATAATTACTGTATCTACAGCTCACAAGTCATTAGTGTTTTGGTCACTGGGAAGAATTCTCCTTACACTTGTGGTCACTGTAAATAATCCCCCCTTTCAGATTGCTAAAAGTATTATTGGTTCACTGGTAACTTACCTGTGAGTCACAAAGTGCTAATTGCCCCTAGAAACCTCTGAAAGAACCCTAGGGTTCTACTGAACCCTGGTTGAGAGAGGCTGAACTTATGATAAAAATTGTAGACCCTTAATTTTCTTGTAAGTAAAGTTAAAAAATCTGCAGAGGATCAAATAATTATTTTCGCCACTCTAAGGGTTGTGTCGTTGTAGACAAATACTGTATCCTTAAATAAACTTTTACTGGGATAAATACATTGGACTGCCATTGTTAGGCTCCTTTTGAAAATTCAACTTGCCTGACTGTTATGGTGACCCACTTGCTTCAATACTTTGAATCACAGTTCTCAAACAGGCATGTATATCTGTAAATATGGGATAAAGGCTTAAGTCCTGATGTGCATACTTGGTCAGGGTCAGTTGACCTAAACTGTTGAAGCATGACAGCAGGGTGTCTAGCATTTGCAAAATTAATATCTAGCCACCTGTTAGGCTGCTTACGCAGATTATGTAATCGATTTAAAAACACCTTTACATTGTAAGTTATATTAATCATGGCCTCTGTACTTTTTCATACCCTTTCCTTTCACTTATTTAAAAAAATGTTTGTAAATTCGTTAAGGTTCCATGCATACTGGGCTTAAAAAAAAAAAGTTCCCTTGGCAGGAAAAAAAAAGTTCATATAGAGCATTTTTGTATACATGTTTAGGTTTGTTAAGAGTATTTTTCTGCCAAAAATGGAAACCAGAAGGGTTTTTTTTTATCCTGCCTCTAATGCTGAGCTTAAAATATGCCTCTAAACTTATATATATCTATAATGCGTATGGACACATAGGATAACATTGAGCTGCTTTTACAGGCAAAACACAAAACTCATGTAGAAACAGGGTTTTTTTAAACCAGTGTGCACGGAGTTGTGAAGTAACATTTTGTGTCATGTACTTTTTAAATGTCTGGTTAATATTAAGGGCAGACTGTTGAGGTTGACTGAATTAGACTACCTGAGTTTCCCTTACTTCTACATATAATACTATGTGGATGGTAACACTGATATACTAAATATGATGTAGTGCAGGGCTTAAAATTTCAAGTCCTGAGCTACTAGCCAGCCCTTAAGAGTTACTCGTCACCAACAAACACACACAAACAGACACCTGCACACACACACACAGACATGTACATACACATACACACACAGAAACATGTATACACATGCACAGAGACACATGTACACACACACACATATACAGACACATGTATACACACACAGGCACGTACAGACACGCATACACACACACATGTACATACACACAGACACATGTACATACATACACAGATACATGTACATGCACACACACGTACATACACGCAGGCACATGTACAGATACACACATGTACATGCATACACAGACACATGTACATGCATACACAGACACACACATGTACACACACACACATGCATGCACGCTGTTAAGTGCTCTCTCCTCTCCCCTGAAGCCACCACTGGCTGACATAGAGGATCATGTGACCAGAGTGAGCTGAAATTAGGTAGACACACACACACCTATAAAAAGTTGCAGTACTTCGTTGTTCACTCACAGATCTGGGTACTGCACTTTAGGTGGAGGCAGGGAGCACAGCACACACTCCCTTTGCTTTCACTGCGCTCAGCTATTGAGCAGTCTGACGGCTCCCAGTTCCAATGACAGCCCTGGCCACTCGCCATTGGCGAGCAGGCGAGTGGAAATTTTAAGGTCTGATGTAGTGTGTATTGCATGGATCAGTTGAACCTAGACATTGAATATGCTGCTCAAGTATACAAATAACTTTTTTTTTTTCCAAGGCTCCTGGCATGCACGTCCAATTTATATGCTGCCTCTAACCTGCACCTTTTTTGGGGGAAGTAGAGGATGGGAAGGAAGTTCTAATATTATTTATTTTAATTGAATACTGACATTGTTAACTTTTCCTTTCAGGAATAAAAACTCAGAAATGCTCCCTCCAGATCCACGCCTTATGCCCCAGAGCTGTTTGTTAATTCAGCCGCCTCCTCCACGTGGAGGCCGCAAAGCAGCTGTTAGCAGAAAGACCAACATGCATGTACTTGTAGATACTGGACTCAGGGTTAGTGTCAACAGACAGTAAAAATGTTCTTCTGATCTCTTTGTTTCTCTTTAAAATATAACCAAAGGCAATTTTTTTTTTTACTTTTGAAAAGAGTGGAGAGGGATTAGAACACCTCTCAGTTTTTTATTGTTTTATGTGCCCCTGTTATGGAGATTCACCCTCTCTATTTGTCCTCTTTACCATTATCATTGAAAATGAAAGTAAAAAAGAAACTCCCAGATTTTGGGCTGTCCCCAGAAAAGTAGGGTAAGTCTTCCAATGGGGATACTAGTTCTGGTGACCTGGGGGAGCCCAAGTGATTCCCTTAATTTGCAGGGATTTTCTCTCAATTTCTGTTTTGGCTATGGAACAAAAAGTGAAGGTAAATCACCCCAATAGGACATAGGATGGCAAAAAACTGACAGGGTTATACCTCTCCTTTACTCTATCCAAAATGGAAAAATAAATTGCCTATAGTTCTATTTTGATTCAGATCTTTGTATTTCAATGTTTTCATTAATTTATAAACAGTTTAAGAGGAGCAACAAGACACGCCCACGCAGGGGCTATCAATTGCACATAAAAAAATGAAAAAAACAGTGCTCTAACACCAACAGAGCAAAAGGTATGCCTACGCAGGGGCTATCAATGGCAAATAAATGACAAAAACATTAGTATAACACTGACAGTAACTCAAACTAAAGGCAACTATCCACTGCCACACCAAAAACAAACAGAAAAAGAAAGAAGAGTACAAAAGGAAAAAGATAAGACCAAGAGCAGGAGTCCGAGAAAGATCTTTGAAACATACATGGAAAAATTAATTTTACATTTGTTAGTATTCATCCGGTTTTGCACCTGGTTAAGCAATGTAGATAGCAGTCTTAACAACAAGTGATGTAATAGAAAATACTGTGATTTATTGTTTTATTAACTCTATTTAGAAAATTAGTTTTTCTTCATTATCACATGCAAAACTTGCTTCTTGATGGGGTCATTTAGAATTCATAGATCCCTTTGAGAAAGCTCCATAGCCTAATGAATCTTCAGAGTAACCAGATGACAATTGAGTGTGACGTATTTTGTATGTGGTTCATCATTTTCTTAGATGGGCCTGCATAGTGTGACAATGCCCAAGTGGCTTGCTTATCTTAATCTGGTAAATATGGTATATTGTCTGGAAGTAAATGCTTTTAGTGTTATTTAGACGTTATGCCAATGTATTTGTGTGTTTCCATGGTACAGCTGCTTCACATGAGTTTGAAAAAATCAAAAGTAAATTCTTCTGAGGAACATGCCTTGGAAATGCTGGATCCCTTTGTGCAAATACTGATTGGCTGCCTACAGTCTATGGATGTAAAGGTGAGGATATGAGTTTGATTATATATAGTATATCACATGTTTTTAAAAAGTGGCATGCAAGTAGAATCAATGAGTGCTTTGAAGTGAAACTGCAGGATCAACTAAAGGTGTAGTTGATTTACATATACCGTATATGAACAGTGTTGCCTCCCCTAGGTTCTGTAACTGTGTTTAACCCGTCTGTAAATCTTTGCCAAACTGCACTTACAGGGTCATTTTACTGTTGCCTTGTTTAGCTCCACACCTTTCTGTGTTTATTTGTGTTTATTGTACATTTAGATGTGTGCGTGGAGTTGCACTTTATTTCTGGTATCAAACTCATCAATTAAATATCAACATCTCTGTACAAAATCTCTGCATAAAAAATCAGTGTATGGAAAGAGAATAATGTTCATTTCCTGTATTTGTTCATGATTTATCTTGTTTGATCCTGTCTTCTCTGATCCTCCCCTTCTTCCAGTGTCCCCCTCTTATCTTTATGATAAGACATATAGTGTGGAGTCACTATGCACATGCTCAGTTTGATGTGTATTGTCAGGTTTCTTTTTTTTTCTCTTGGGAGAGTGAGTGTGGTCAGCACAGGGCCAATCAGCACTGTCCAGACAGAGGTCAGGGGTTCTGCATCCTCCTGGAGCAGAATAAAAACTCCCCCTACAAGCTTTTAACCAGTGCTCTGCTGAACACTGACAGAAGTCACAAGACTGCTCTAACTTCTGATGAGTAAAGGTTAGCAGTTTATATTTACTAAAATAATTGCACTTCCATGTTCTGTGTACTGTGGGAGACCAGATATAGTGAATGCAGGGACCTGGGTTTATTAACACCGTAAGGTATTGAAAGTGATGTAAATGATCTGGTTCCTGGGCAAGCAGCTTCTACACCATGGAGGATCTCCATGGTCTCCTTGGCTTATACAGTGCATCCAGTAAGTATTCACAGCGCTTAACTTTTGCCACATTTTGTTATGTTACAGCCTTATTCCAAAATGGATTGAACTCATTTTTTCCCCTCAACATTCTACAAACAATACCACATAATGACAATGTGAAAGAAGTTTGTTTTGAAATCTTTGCAATTTATTAAAAATAAAAAACAAAAAAAACACATGTACATAAGTATTCACAGCTTTTGCTCAATACTTTGTTGAAGTAACTTTAGCACCAATTACAGCCTCAAGTCATTTTGAGTATGATGCTACAAGCTTGGCACACCTATTTTTAGGTAATTTCTCCCATCCTTCTTTGCAATACCTCTCAAGCTCCATCACGTTGGATGGGGAGCGTCGGTGTACAGCCATTTTCAGATCTCTCCAGTGATGTTCAATCGGGTTCAAGTCTGGGCTGTGGCTGGTCCACTTCAGGACATTCATAGCCACTCTTTTGTTATGTGGGCTGTGTGCTTACGGTCGTTGTCCTGTTGAAAGATGAACCATCGCCCCAGTTTAAGGTCCAGAGTGCTCTGGAACAGGGTTTCATCAAGGATGTCTCTGTACATTGCTGCCTTCATCTTTCCTTTGATCCTGACTAGTCTCCCAGCTCCTGCCACTGAAAAACATCCCCACAGCATGATGCTGCCACCACCATGCTTCACTGTAGGGATGGTATTGGCCAGGTGGTGAGCGGTGCCTGGTTTCCTCCAAACATGACGCTTGGCATTCAGGCCAAAGAGTTCAATCTTTGTTTCATTTGACCAGAGACTTTTGTTTATCATGGTCTGAGAGTCCCTCAGGTGCCTTTTGGCAAACTCCAGGCGGGCTGCCATTTGCCTTTTACTGAGTAGTGGCTTCCGTCTGGCTACTGTACCATACAGGCCTGATTGGTGGAGTGCTGCAGAGATGGTTGCTCTTCTGGAATGTTCTCCTCTCTCCACAGAGAAACGCTGGAGCTCTTTCAGAGTGACCATAGGGTGCTTGGTTACCCCCCTGGCTAAGGCCCTTCTTCCTTGATCGCTCATTTTGGGTGGGCGGCCCGCTCCAGGAAGATTTCTGGTAGTTCCATACTACTTCCTTGGAATTCATGGCTTGGTTTGTGTGCTCTGACATGCACTGTTAACTGTGGGACCTTATATAGACAGGTTTATGCGTTTCCTAATCAAGTCCAATTAACTGAATTTCCCACAGGTGGACGCCAATCAAATTGTGGAAACATCTCAAGGATGATCAGTTAGAACAGGATGCACCAGAGCTCAATTTTGAGTGTCATGGCAAAGGCTGTGAATACTTACTATATGTACATGTGTTTTTGTTTTTTTTTTTTTTAATAAATTGCAAAGATTTCAAAATGAACTTCTTTCACATTGTCATTATGGGGTATTGTTTGTAAAATGTTGAGGAAAAAAATTAATTTAATCCATTTTAGAATAAGGCTGTAACATAAAATGTGGCAACAGTTAAGTGCTGTGAATACTTTCTGGACGCACTGTAGCATAATTTAACAAAAAATAAAATTGAAGCGCCACACCACTGCTAAGAGGTCCAGATGCAAATTTATTCCTTTAGAAGTTTGGGATAAAAGGCAAAAAGTAGCCAACTCCTTTCATGAGAATTATCTAACAAAAGGTATCCAATTTTTTCAGTTAGATTGATTCCTAAATAGATTTCTGTCAATTTTAAATATATCCATTAACTAGGACTTCAGAACCAATGGGAGGAAAACTATTCAACCAGTAGGATAAAAATAAGCCATTTACCAATAGCTAGAATATCATTTAGCAATGTCGGATGATGAATAGTTAATGTAATTTTATCATCTGTACTATTGCATTGCAAACGCAGTAGAAAAGGTCAAGGACCCTTGATTGCACTGAGCCAATATAACATAAAATCATAATATCAAAATCTAGTATCTCTACATGAGCAAATTACAAATTCAAAACTAGTCTTTTGTATCTTACATTTAAAATATTAAGACATTTCCTACTTTTAAGACATGAAGAAAATTCATGAAAGCAATATTAAAGTGTATTTTGTATGGAGTTGGGAAGGGGTAGAACATCTGTCAGGTTTTTATTGCTGTTTTTGTTCCCGCATAGGAGATTCATCCTTTTTTTTTGTTGTTCTGGTGACCATTGTCACCAAGACAAAAAGTGTCAGAAAATTTAGAGTGGTCACCACAACTAGAGGCAAGAATAAATCATCCAATGGGGGCACTAGTTTAAATGATAACGGTCTAAGTTTGTTAATTCTGTGACACAGGAAGTGATGGGAAATCTCTCCAATGGGACACCAACAGAAAAATAACCTGCAGATGGTTTTTAAGCTTCCCCTTATTTATCCAAAATAATAAATGGCTATCCATATCCATTTTCAATCCAAGAACTGCATAATGACAGACCTTCCAATGTTGTCCCCTACAAACTTCAAATTAGGCCCCCCCCCCCCAGCTAGTGATCCTGCCAGAAACACTTTTCTGTCATAGGGTGTGGCAATACTTATCCACTGTACTGTGAGAATGAGTAGCATTTTCACTTTATGCCTCACCTTCTCTCCATCTAGGTGGAGGTGTTCTGTAGTCTACAGAGATGGCCAAGAACAGCGCTTGCTAGTAACAGCTTCCTGTTTTTTTTGTTTTTGTTTTGTTTTTTTTTGTATTTATCAAACTGATGTAACAAATAGAAAATAAGTTTAATTAATTCTTGGGGTTTGTATATACTTTAGCTTGAAGCAGACTGTCACTCACCTTTTTACCTATTGTATATAATAATAATTGTATATAATATAATAATCTTGGTCCTTCCCCCTTTTTCACATTTGGAAGCTTTTTTTGGGGGGGGGGTAGCAAGTATTTTGCCTAGGTATGGGTGACATCACTCTGGATACACCCCTTTTCCTTGCCTACAGCTTTCTGGGATCATGTCACACATTCCAGGAGGCAGTAGCTCGATTGTGACGGATCAGTATGTCACAGCTAGCTCCAGAATATAAGATGGTGTCCTGGGGAACTAAGACAGCAGTGAATACTTTTTCAGATTGTAAGATGTCAGTGATGGACTTTATGGGGTAATGAGTATTTTTTTGTTTTTTTTTCTTTTTTAGCTATAGTATTTGTAGCTGTTGATTTTTACTTTATTAAAACCAGGTGAGGTTCCTCTTAAAGTTTTGGTTCACAGTGTAATAGTGAACTAACACCATACACCCTGACCACCCCCCCCCCCCCCAATTCCTGCTGTACTTACCTCTGTGGATACTGAGCTGCCTAGCATTCAGAGATTTGAAATCAGGAGCATATCAAGGAAGGATTAGAGTCCCGGCACCCCTGAGCGTCACTCTGAACGGATACCGATGCTCTGCACAGAGAAGAGCAGGAACCACTGGACTGTCTGCATGGGCACTGACAGCTCAGAATCCCTAAAGAGAAGTACAGCGGAGACTGGGGGTGGGCAAGGTGTACAGTGTTGGTTCACCTTTACAGAAAAAAGAAAATGTGAACTAACACTTTAAGGACTTTTGACAAGACTCCTATTGGTTCTTTTATTATTCAGATCTATTTACAGTGCATGCTGTTTCCTAACATCTGGCTTGTTGCCATTTGAATGCCTTCACATGGGCTGATATAAAAAAAAACCAAAAAGAAAAGAAAACTCTAGCAACCAAGATGCCATATTCAGAAGAAAGCAAAAATAACTGTGTTGTGATGTGCAAATGGAAGTATGTTGAACATTTGCATTTCTATATAGGTCATCACTGGAGCTCTGCAGTCCCTCATCTGGATGCTTAAGTTTCCATTACCCTCTATAGACAAGAACACGGAGGAGCTGATTACACAGCTTTTTCTGTTGTTAAAAGACTATGCAAAAGCAGGTGCAGCCAAAGGTCAAAATTTCCATCTGGTGGTTAGCTGTTTCAAGGTAAGAAAAGTATCATTGGAGAACACTACATGCAGGTATCACCTGTTATAACATGTTATAACTATTTTGCCTTTTTGTATTTTTACAGTGTGTTACCATACTGGTTCGACACATGAAGGGAACCATTACAGAGAAACAGCTGCAAGTGTTGCTTGGTTATGCTGAAGAGGATCTCTATGATTCTTCACGGCAAGCCACTGCTTTTGGTTTGTTAAAGGTTAGTTTCTCCTACCAGCATTATTTTCCAGCACAAGGGGTTCACTCTCATTATGTGTTAAAAATAATGGAAATCAGCCTACTTTAAGGTGTGGTGGGTCCTGTAATAATTCAGCAGCCATTATGTAACTGTGTAATTATTTTCTAATTTTAAAGCAGTATGCCCCTTTAAAGAATAAATTCAAGTAAAATCAAATTGTGATCTGGTAATGCTGGATGGGAAAAATTGAACTACGCTAATGATAAGTAGTCCACATAATTTACGTTTTATTTATTAATCATTGAAACCAGCTTCACCAGGCTTTTCATAGTCACACATATCACATGGTTTTGTGCTGTGGTGCCTCTAGTTCTGTTTCAATGTAAATTGGTGAGGCTGAACTGGGCTCAAAGAAAAGGTAAGGTTGGCCTGTTTTTTTTTTTTTGTAGGTTTAAGGCCTCTCAGAAAGTGACAATACCAGAGACTATAGTGATATTTTCTTGCAAGGTAGTCAGGTATTGATGATGAATGCTAGGATAACTCAGCAGATAAATTGGCTATCCTGAGTTAGTTTAAAGTGGTTGGAAACCTCAGATATAAAATATGAACAAAGCATATCCCTCTATGGTGGGCACTTGTCTCAATCCAGAGCACTAAGTGTCATTTCTATCTGCTGCTAAGTTCCTCTGCTATAAATAGATGTTTCTTTTTGATGAGTTTTCATGACACCAAGAGAAAAATTGTGACAGGGAGGAGGGCACAGCCTGTGTTTGAAAGGCTCAGCTCTGTTCCTGTGTGTTGTGTGAGGTGGGGTGTCCCTTCCCTCCAATCTGCACTCAGAGCTCTCCTCACTAATGTAACTTCAGCTCTCCACCTCCTTCTTTCCAGAGCTGAGAGATCCTGTGAAAATCTGCTGTAGGTAAACAGGTACAACTTATGTAGGATGATCTGTTTCATTTCTGTGTATCACCTGAGGCCCGCCACTTCACTAGGTACAGCGGGTAAAAGAAGTATTGAACACGTCACCATTTATCTCAGTAAATATATCTCTAAAGGTGCTATTGACATGAAATTTTTACCACATGTCGGTAACAATCCATGCAGTTCATACATACAAAGAAACCAAAACAAATAAGTTCAGAAATTAAGTTATGTGTGATAAAATGGAATGACACAGGGAAAAGGTATTGAACATCCTAACTGAAATTTGTTTAATACTTCGTACAAATTCCATTGTGAGTAATGACAGCTTCAACACGCCTCCTATATGAAGCAACTAGTCGCATGCATTGCTCAGGTGTGATTTTGGTCCATTCTTCCACACAAACAGTCTTCAAATCTTGAAGGTTCTGTGGGCCTCTTCTATGAATTCTGATCTTTAGTTCTTTCCATAGATTTTTCTATCGAATTCAAGTCAGGTGATTGGCTGAGCCATTCTAGCAGCTTTAGTTTCTTTGGCTTTGTGTTTGGGATCATTGTATTGCTACCCTCGTTTCTTTTTCATCATCCTGGTAGATGGCAGCAGATTTTTATCAAGAATGTCTTGGTACATTTTTCTATTCAACCTTCCTTCAATGATATGAAGTTTGTCAGTACAGTATGCTGTAAAACAGCCCCACACCAGGATGTTCCCACCTCCAAACTTCACTGTTGGTATGGTGTTTTTGGGGTGATGTGCAGTGCCATTTGACCTCCAAACATGTTGTGTATTATGGCATCCAAAGAGTTTAATTTTGTTCTCATCTGACCAGACTATATTCTCCCAGTATTTCACAGGCTTTCTAAATATTGTGCAGTAAACTTAAAACAAGCTTCAGCATGTTTTTTCTTCAGCAATGGAGTCTTGTGTGGTGAGTCTGCGTACAGGCTATGGCGGCTGAGTGCATACAAACAGTTGTACCTGCTAATTTCAGGTCTTTCTAAAGCTCTCCACAAGTGGTTCTTGGACAATTCTTCTGATAATTTTATTCACTCTTCTGTTAGAAATCTTGCGAGGAACACCTGCTCATGGCCGTTGTATGGTTAAATTATGTTCTTTCCACTTCTGGATTATGGCCACAACAGTGCTCACTGGAATATTCAGAGATCCTTCTGTAACCAATGCCATCAGTGTTTTTCCTCCCACTGACACCAATGATGGGGCACTATTCCTCCCACACTGGCACTAATAATGGGGCACTTCCTCCCACTGACACCAATCAGAGAGAGAGAGGAGGGGGGGGGAGAGAGGAGAGGGAGAGAGGAGGGAAATAGAGGGGGGGGGAGGGAGAGGAGAGGGGGGTGGGGAGAGAGAGGGAGGAGGGAGAGAGAGAGGGGGGAGGAGGGGGAGAGGGAAGGGAGAGAGGGATGGGGGAAGAGAGGGAGAGAGAGAGAGAGAAGGGGAAAAGAATACACAAGGCTGGCTGGAAGTGTGGGCGGGGCAGACACAGGAGGAGAGGGCGGGAGGAGGAGGGGCAGCTAGCTCTCTCCTCTCCCCGTCTGTGTGGGGGGGGGAGGGGGAACTGTCAGCACTGGGGACTGCATATGCTGACAGATCCCCTGCAGTGCTGGAGGGGGAGCATACAGTAGCTGACATGCAGGAAATCTATAGGGGAGGTGACTGGTGGCACATAGAGCATAGAGAAAAATGAAGGGTCCTCTATGTGCTGCCCGGCCCCCTCTCCAGCCGGCTCCATAGCTGACAGGTTCTCTGTGTCCTTGCCGCTGAGCACGCACACCCCCCTGGCCAAGCACAGCCCTTTGCATCGACAGCACTGGTCCCTTCTGCCTGGGGGCAGTACCGCCCCCCTGAAAAGTGCTGCCCAAGGCAGATGCCTTGTTTGCCTCGCGGCAGATACGCCCCTGCTTGAGAGAGCACTTTGCTATTACCCATCATGAGATGTTTCTTGTGTGACACTTTGGTAATGAGACACCTTTTTATAGGCCATCAGTTGAGATTAAACCAGCTGATATTCACTTGCACTGACAAGGGGCAGGATTGCTTTCTAATTACTGATAGATTTCAGCTGGTGTCTTGGCTTTCCATGCCTTTTTGCACCTCCCTTTCTTCATGTGTTATTTAATTTTGTTACACATAACCTAATTTCTGAACTTATTTTTGTTGGTTTCTTTGTATGTATGGAGTTCATGGGTTGTTACTGACATGTGGTGAAAATTTAATGTCAATTGCAATTTTAGATATATTTACATAGAAAAATGGTGACGTGTTCAATACTTATTTTACCTGCTGTATATGTGAGGGTTTACAACCACTTTAAATGCAGTTTATATTCGGCACAAACTTAATTCCTGTATTATTTCTACAGTTGAATGCTTTTTATCTTTAACAAATTTGTTCCAGTGTAACCATGCCGTTTTATATACACAATATTAAATGTAATACATTTGTTTTGTTATTTTAAAGGCTATTGTATCTAGAAAGCTGATCGTTCCTGAGATTGATGATGTCATGCAGAAAGTAGCGAAGTTAGCAGTGACCTCCCAGAGTGAGCAAGTGAGAGTTCAGTGCCGACAGGTGAGTAGACAGACTAGAACTGTATGCATTAAATAAACTTATGTTCTTGTTGCATATTAGAAAAAAAATGGATATACAAAAATGCTCACAAAACTAAAACACTCTCACATATGAAGGTAGGTAGCACACATTCATGACCCAAATAGGCCGTATACAGTTTCACACTAACATGCATAACTGTGTACATTCTCAATGTATCCTGCTCCAGTTAATAGAGCCTATGGTGTTTAGGCATAGTGTTCCCTACTTTCCATTCTCCCATGTCATTTACATGAGGGATACTTCTCTGTTTCACTGTTTCTTTGGCTTGCTTACACCAATTTAGTTGTCCAATGAATGTCTTTCCAGATATACCTGAAGTATTTGCTTGACTATCCTCTGGGTGCCAAACTGAAACAGAACTTGGAGTTTATAATTGTACAACTAAAGTAAGTTGAATTGTTTTATTCCAGCCAACTATTCTTATTTTGATCAGATTTCTCATACTAGTCAGTGAAATTCTATCCTCTTTTGGTGTTGTATAAAAATATCATGTCTGATGTCTGATTGCACTTGCGGTTTTCTTGTGTTTTTTTTTTGTTTTTTTTAACCAGTTGCCGCCTGACCTATGGCCAAATGGCGGCCGGGCGAACACTTTGTCCCTCCGGGAGATCGCCAAATGGCATCCTTCCCGGAACACACATTGCACATGCCAGCAGGGCCGTGCTGTGACGTGATCTGTCACCGGCCATGTACCTCGGACACAGCCGAAGACAGATCTGTGTATCGGCCCCATTGCCAGTACCATGTGACCTGCTGTGACCAATCACAGCAAGTCACACGACAGTTGCATACAATGGATGGCTTCCTTTCATGCCATCCATTGTATACAAGTGTGTCTAGCTGTGAATGGTCACAGGGATCACATGCACAGGCTGGGCCAATCACAGCCCATCTGTGTCATGTGATTAGCCATGGCCAATCACAGCTAGTCACAACAAAAAAAGCCTGAATGAATCGATTTCATTCAGTTAAATGCTTGCTTGAAATTCTTTGCTATAATCAATCAAATTGTGTAAAAAAAAAAAAAAAAAATAAAAAAATACTGATCACTTCTCCAAAGTAGTACAATGTTAACATTATACTACTCTAGTCATAGTGCAATATGAAAAAAAATCTTTAAAAAAGAGAGAAAAAATGTAATAAAAAATAATTAAAAAAATTAAAATGTTTTTTTTTTTTCTGTACTGTCACCAGTCATTGTCATTGATCACCTCCACGCCAGTTATTTGATGACACTGTACTGCACTGGTTACAGTATGTAAAAAAAAAAAAAATTTGTGAATTTTTTTTTTTACTAATTTCTTCATTTTCTGAAAAATTATGACCAAAAAATTTTAACTTAAAAAAACTTGCCATGCCTCTTATAAAATACGTCGGACTGTCTACTTTGCAAAAAGGGGTCATTTGGGGGATATCTGTACTGTTCTGACATTCTTGGACCTCAAGAAATTGATTTGGCTGTCTGTACTTCAGGATTGATCAATATTCAGATATATCCCATAGTCTGTGAACTCTATAACTTTCCTACAAACTAAATCATAAATACTGATTTGGGTTATTTTCACCAAAGAAATGTAGCAGAATACATCTTGGCCTAAATTTATGAAGAACAATTATTTATTTGAAAACTTTTATAACAGAAACAAAAAAACATTTTTTTTTCATTTTCTGTTTTATTTTGTTAATTTAACAAAAATAAAAACTCCAGCGGTGATTAAATACCACCAAAAGAAAGCTCTAGTTGCTTGAACAAAAAGAGGAAATTTTAGTTTGGGTACAGTGTTGTATGACCGCGCAGTTATCATTCAAATTGTGAGAGCGCTGAAACCTGAAAATTGGCCTGGGCAGGAAGGGGGTAAAAGTTCCCAGTATTGAAGTGCTTAACCATTTCAATACTAGGCACTTTTACACCTTCCTGCCCAGGCCATTTTTCTGGTTTCAGCGCTCTCACACTTTGAATGACAAGTTGCGCGGTCATACAACATTGTACCCACACTAAAATTTTATCATTTTCTTCACACAACTAGAGCTTTCTTTTGGTGGTATTTAATCACCACTGGGGTTTTTATTTTTTGCTAAATTAACAAAAAAAGTCCAAAAATTTTGAAAAAAAACCCACATTTTTTTTTTGTTTCTGTTATAAAAGTTTGCAAATAAATAATTGTTCTTCATAAATTTAGGCCGAGATGTATTCTGCTACATGTCTTTGGTGAAAATAACCCAAATTAGGATGTATTATTTAGTTTGTAGGAAAGTTATAGAGTTCACAAACTATGGTATAGATCTGAAAATTGATCAATCGTGAAGTACTGACAGCCAATCTAATTTCTTGAGGTACAAGAATGTCAGAACAGTACAGATATCCCCCAAATGACCCCTTTTTGCAAAGTAGACAGTCCGACGTACTTCATAAGAGGAATGGCGAGTTTTTTGAAGTTGTATTTTTTTTGTCATCATTTTTCGGAAAATTAAAAAATTAAAATTCTTTTCACAATTTTTTTTTTTACATACTGTCACCAGTGCGGTACAGCATCATCATATAACTGGCATGGCAATGATCAGGGACACTGACAGTATGAAAAAAAAAAATATATAATTTTTTTTACATTTTTTTTTATTAATTTAAAATTTTTATTATATTTTTTTCTTTTTTTTAAGATTTTTTTTTCATATTTCACTATGACCAAAGTAGTATAATGTTACCATAGTAACATTGTACTACTTTGGGAAGTGATCAGTATTTTTTTTTTTTTTTTTACACAATTTGCTTATAGCAAAGAATTACTTTGCTATAAGCAAGCATTTACCTGAATGACATCAATTCATTCAGGGCTTTTTTTTTTTTGTGTGCTTAGCTGTGATTTGGCCACAGCTAATCACATGACATGTGCATGTGATCGCTGTGACCCTTCACAGCTAGACACTAGTATACAATGGATGGCATGAATGAAGCCATCCATTGTATACAACTGTCATGTGACCTGCTGTGATTGGTCACAGCAGGTCACATGGTACCAGCAACGGGGGCCGGTACTCAGATCTGTCATCGGCCGTGTCCGAGGTACACGGGCGGTGACAGATCGCGCCGGGGCAACTGCGCATGCCTGGGAGTACGCCATATGGAGTCCACCCGGAAATCAAATGTATTTTTCCGGCAGCCAAACGGCTATTGGCCGGGCATCTATTGGTTAAGGACCCCACTTAATCAGTATTTTCACATTATGCATATAATGCAAACTTAGCATTGCATAAATCTGGCACAATATATATAAATCCTTTACAGCTTCAATATATTTTAGTAATCTGTCTTCAGGGTCTGGTAGCCTACCTATTTTAGGAGAAATACTGAGGCTGCCTTTGATGAGAAAACTCTAGAATACTGGTTATAATTTCACTGACCTGGACCATGTGTAGTAACAAGGAATCCTGACTTTGCAGACTGCTTGTTTCTGGTCACTGACTCACAGGTACTAAAGCCGGAGAGGGCCAGGCAGCTAATATTCTGAGAAGGAGAGAAGCAGTTTCAGCCTACAGATTTCTGTCCTGACTGGTGTAATTTAACATTTTATAGAGTTAGAGGAAAATCTGATTTAGAACGTTAGGTTATTGGCATCCATCATGCAGTTGGACAGTAGTAAAGGCTGTAGGGACAGTTGCAGTGGTTTATAGACATTGGATGACATGCCTGCATGGTTCCACTGCCCTTGATTTGTGCATAGACGCAAATGTTCCTATCATAGCAGTGTGCATGTCTCAACATTTAGCAGTTTCACTCAGCGCCGGCATTTATCTGGCGAGTAACTGTCAACCTGAATGCTTAACAGACCCATTTCCAATACTGAGGTTAATCTGAGTGCTTGCAGAAAAGCGCCCATAGGGAATCTGCATAACTGTGTAACTGATACTCTTAGTATATCCCACTGACTGACCATAGGAATTTATCTTTGTTTTGGTTGAACCTGGGGTGTATTTATTAAAAGGATAGTATCTTATGCTATGTGTTGTCTTCAGTGGTGGATAAATCCTACACTTTTCTCAGTTATATACCACCAAAGACATTTATGGTCCTCATGTTTATCTTTTGATGCCTAAACGCAAATCTGTTGGGGAGTGCAGGGGGCGTTGGAGGAATCTGGCCTCCTGATCAACATTTTGAAACTTTGGCTGATGTGGTACTCTGGCCTAATCAGATTCCTGTCAGATGCTCCATAGGCTATTACAGATTAACCAGATTTTCTGTCCCAGGGACTGGTTTGCCATCCTGCTTCACAGCTGCTTGCTTTAATGGCATAGCTGGTGCAGATCAGAGGGATGAAGGCATCTCTGAATCAATAATTCCTTTGATAAACAGCTAGGAAATCTGACTCTCACAAGGTTTATGATCACACATGGAAAGCATACTTTGCATGGTGTGAGGAAACAAGTTTTCATCCCAGGTAATACTACACCAGACAGAATGTGTCTTTTCTGCAAGTGGCCCTTAATCAGCATTTGTCCTTGTTTACCTTTCAGGGATCAGATTATTGGTCTTTGAACCAATAATCGCTAGCTTCCTTTGATTAAGACTTTGGTATAGGATGCCTCTCATGTAGATCCCTCATGGCCCTATGGGTTTTGAAAGTGCTTATTTCAGCTCTTCAAAAACCACTTTCTGAACCTATCAGGAATAGTCCCCCTTTTTCACTCTCACTTAAAGCGGAGTTCCATTCACCCTGTCAAAAAATAAAAGTCAGCAGCTACAAAAACTGTAGCTGCTGACTTTTAAAAAACAGCCACTTGCCTGTCCTTCGTTCCCGTGGTGTGTCCCCCGCAGCCGGTTTTCACCCGCCGTCCTGATATCTTGCGGCTTCACAGCCGAGTACCCATTGCACATGCGCGAGTAGCGCTGCGCTTCATGAATGGTCCTGTAGTCTTCTGGGACCTGTCACATGTCCCAAAAGACTACAGGGAGGGAGGGAGGATACCTTCCGTTTCCGATTGCCTAGGCCAGTGGTCGGCAAGCCGTGGCTCGCGAGCCACATGCGGCTCTTTACACACTCTAATGCAGCTCTTCTGTGTGCCGGGTGCCCGCTCCCCTCCCTCCTCTCGGGCGGCCGCCCCCAATAGTCAGGACTCTGCAGCTAGCCCAGCAATGGGCAAACTACGGCCCGCGGGCCGTATACGGCCCGGCGTACCTTTTAATCCGGCCCACGGAGCGTGGCAAACATTGGCTGTCAGGATGTAAGCGGGGCAGCGTGACGAAACTCCTCTCCTCTCACAGTCCGCCCTGAAGACCGGAACGGCGCGGGAACACGGCGAGAGGAACGCGCGGAGCAAAGGTAAGTGAATTGACACAATATGGGGAATGAATTACTATAGGGGGGATGAATTACTATATGGGGGATGA